TTATTTCCAATAGCGACGAAGAAACTTCCTACTTCCTAGTGATCAACTTAAACGACAATGCGATCACTTGTCGAGCTGGTGGAGATGTTGACATCGGTGGAGGAGGATTCAACTACGGAATTAGAGCAGTCGAGCTGGGAGAAGAAGAACCTGTGGGAGGAATAAATGAAAGCGAAGTATGCTCAGAGGATGGGAACGAGGAAGGAAGAGAGTTGCGGTGATGCCATCACTCATAAGGGGTTGGGCTTCCTCGAAAAGGGAGTTGCATAAGCTTGTTGATGAACATCTCTCGTTTCCATTCTTGATTGTTTTTGACTTTTTTCATTTTTTTTATCTATGAACCTCAGCCCCACGTGCCACTTTGTGACAACGAAGCAGGGTCTATTAAACCTGGGGCCCACCTGCAATCAATTCAACGCCAAAGGGACTTCGCCGCCAGCAGCCTCATACCTCTGAGAACATCAAAGGGCCTCGCTTGAATCGAATTTGGGATCTGCAACTCCCAGTCCTTCACTGTTTTGGCAGTTTTTATCGTCATGCTATCTTACCTTTGGTCTTTATTCCTTTTTCATAGATGTTCTTTCTTTATTTCTCTAACAATTATTATTTATACATAAATTTTCTATACAAAAATTTTGTACAGAAAACTTATGTACAAAATAGGAACATGTTTTTTTGTCAAAAGTATATCAAAATTTATATCATCTAGTAAATAATAATAAATTTTGATTTATGAAAAATATCTAAATGTAAGAGATATGACTCGTTAAAACTTAAAAATATAGGGTATGCCTAGTCACCATAATTTGGAGAAAACGGTCGACCTCTTCCACCAAGTGATCTACCACTTGAGTCAACCGGTCTACCACTTCTGAAAATGGGTCGACCTAATGACACACTTACCTTCAAGTGGTCGACCAATTTCCAAGAAAATGGTCAACCTCTTCTACCAAGTGGTCTACCACTTGAGTCAACTGGTCTACCGCTTCCTGAAATGGGTCAACCTGATGACACAATTTCCTTTAAGTGGTCGACCTCTTCCAGCAAGTGGTCGAACACTTTCCACCAAGCGGTCTACTACTTGAGGCCACCGGTCTACCGTTTATGGCAATGAGTCGACCTGTGAAATGGTTTACGTACCTCTTTCACCGACCGATCTCCGCTTTCGACGAACGGTTGACCAAATGACACAGTTACCTTATACATACATTAGGAAAATAATGTACAATAGGAGACAAACAATATAATTTTTTTTTTGTGTAGTAACGCAACATCATATCACCTGTGGGCAACCAAATCCCTACGCATATTATATGCCAAGACAAAAAAACGCCCTCTTTTAACTCTTCTGGAATAAAAACCCACGAAAGCGATGGTATTAAATTTATGGACATTGAAGATGACACAATTGTATAACAAATATACTATACATTTTTAGCATCTTCAGAACAACAATAGCAACAAAATTGATCCATCACAAGACAACTATAGGATAGAAACAAGAAAACTTATAATTTGAAAGAAAGATGAAAGTATATATTAAGTCAAATATAATAAATAAATATGCGGAACATTTTTCAAATCTACGGGAGAATAATCACTCGAGAAACTTGTCATCTATGCTTGCAGCCTTTGTACTCATTTTAAATCTCTTACTAGCAAGCATATCCATTATTATTGGAGTCTAATTATATGATGATATCACTAGCAACGGTTCATATCAGGTGGACCAATTATTGAAAGAGGTGGACCGTTTGGGGAAAGAGTAAACCACTTGATGGAAATGGTGGACCATTTTTTTATATAGTGGACACCTTTTAGTGGAAGAGGTTGATCGTTTATTTAACATAGCAAAATGAAAAATAGTACATATGGTCGACTATTCCAACAATGAGGTCGACCATAGCAATAAAGAGGTCGACCGTTTTGTCCAAACATGTCGATCATATCAGTAAACAGGTCAACCGCTTTGTCCAAATCATGGTGACTTAGAGCATCTCCATAGCTAGAATTTCACAATTGCCAAATGAGGAGGAGAGTGATGTGGCAATCCACTAGCAATTGCTAGGAGTACACGAGCCATTGCTAAGTTAGCAATCTTGCCACCTAAGCATATGAAACCCACCTGGCCACCTTCCATGTTCTTTTCTTTTTTATTTCTTTTTTTTTTATTTTTTTAACAAGAGATAATCATACTAATTGATAAAAAGATCATGAACAACACCCTGGACCCAACCCACACAATTCTTTTTCTTCACCATCTTGACATATCACAAATTGTATTTTTTTCACATTATGGTATTTAAGTTGTTGATTAAAAAACATTTTTTATATAATTAATTAATCAGAGAAGTAATTATGATACACTTTTTTAGTTATAAATAATATAGTATATTTCAATCATTCAAAATCCGAAATACTTGTTTCCATTAAGGATTAATTATATCATATTTAGATTTTTTTATTTATTTTTCATAATACAATATACTAAACTCCAATTTTACGTAAGATTGTTAAGTACATGGAGTATGGTATACGTCATATCACATGGAGTATAGTATACTCCTGGAGTACACCAATCATTACCATATATATATTATACATATTATTAAGGATAATGTCTATTTTATATCCAAACCTTTTTTGGATTCTTTTATATTAGCCAAACCTATCGAAATACTAAGAATTAGCCAAATGCAAACTTTCCGTTAACAATGTTGTTAGTAATATTGACTTGGCACATGATACTGACTTGAAAGAGACACATGAAGGTCATCATTCCAAAATTGGGTTAAAGACACATTTGGTCACTGAGATTACTAAATTAGGACATGTTTAGTCACTGTAAAAATTTAATATCAAATTTGGTCACTAAAATTATTAAAACAGGACACACTTAGTCACTCGCTGTTAGTTGCCGTCCAACTCCGTTAAAAGACTCCGTTATGTGCTGACGCGGCAAACGTACGCGCCTAGTCAGCGCCGTTTTGGGCCGGAAATGGCCAAACCCGACCCGCCATGTCACTATACCCGCCACGTAATAAACCCAACCCAATCCATTAACCCAACCCGACCCAGAAACAAACCCTAACCCACCTAACCAGACCAGAGGCCACTTAAACAAATCAAAATTGATTTGTTTCCATTACAGATGAAAACGGCGGGTTTAGTGACGTTAGGGTTTGTTTCTGGGTCGGGTTGGGTTAATGGATTGGGTTGGGTTTAATACGTGGCGGGTTTAGTGACGTGGCGGGTCGGGTTTGGCCATTTCCGGCCCAAAACGGCGCTGACTAGGCGCTCACGTTAGCCACGTCAGCACATAACGGAGTTTTTTAACGGAGTTGAACGGCAACTAACGGCGAGTGACTAAATGTGTCCAGTTTTAGTAATTGTAGTGACCAAATTTGATATTAACTTTTTCTAGTGACTAAACATGTCCCGATTTTGTAATCTCAGTGACCAAATGTGTCTTTAACTCTTCCAAAATTTTAGTATTTTAACTAAGAAAAGAGTTACAAAATTATTAACGATAACATAAAATTGGCTAATATTTTGATGCATTGCGAAAGAATTGGCTAATTAATAGCATTTTAATAGGTTTGGATAATATAAAAGAATATAAAAAAGGTTTGGAAAAAAATTGACATTAGCCTATTATTAACTATGCAAAAATTATTTAGAATAAAACATAATAAGTGATTTGGATATATTGTAGGACCCATCAATTGAAATTGCTAAAGGATTGCTGGGATGAAGATGGTTGGAAATTGTTGAATGGGATAATTGCTAAAATGGGTGGTTTTGCTGTGGAGACCATTTTAGAAATTGCTAAACACATTTTGGGATGAAGATGGTCTTATAAGTTACCATAGAAAAATTCAAAAAGATAATAATAATTAAATCTAGTAGAAAAGAGAAACACACATATGAAAGGAGGATTTGATTCTATGTATTTTTTTTCCAAAGATATAGTTCCTCTATAAATAGCCATTAAGTTTATTTTATTAATTTTTACGAATTTCTCTTTCCATCACTCAAAATTCAAATACAGTGGATGTAAGTGAACTTTGACAGCTCTCGAAGGGTGTCTCATTTGGCACCATAAACGAACTCTTCCACTATAAGCATACCTTAATTTCAGTATTCTTACAAGAATTAATGCATTTCAGCCCAAATACATCTTGTCAATTAAAATCAAATTATTCCATGATTCTAAAATTTTCTCGTACTTTGTCGATATAGTATTTATCAGGTGTATGCATTTTCATTTCAAAGGTTAAAGCGTATGCATCTTTAATCGTTATCCTTCCCTGAACGGAAAGAAAGTAATAACTAATAAGAAAAAGAGAAGACGAAAAAAGTGCAGCATACAGCCAACTCTGCATTTATTTTATCCCCATATCTCCATTTCAATGAACACCCAATTAAATTCCGAGAAACCACAAACCTTAAATTCTTTCTCCACAATTCATTTGGCAGCCCCATTCCAAAACTGGAAACCTCTATAGGCTTGTTTGGATGAGCTAGTTGTTTTGTTCTAAGTTATTTGTGAGAAGATAATTCGTTTGACAAAATTTTGTGAAAATGAGTTATTTAGACCGTGAGTTATTTACAAATAAATAATTTATACTCGTGTTATTTGTAAATAACTCGTTCTATCCCTTTATTATTGTCAAATATCACATACGAATAATTCAGAAAATTGAGAGTTTTTTAAATACCACATACCAAACTACAATTGAAATAATACGGAAAACCCACATAAACAATCAATAAATTATTCGACACTAATTCCTCAAAAAAAATTATTCAACTCGAAAAATACCACACTTAACAATTAATCTATCCAAACAACCCCTTAATCACTCCCTCGCCCCCATTTCCCTACTACTATAAATTCTCACTCAAATCCATTCTCAGTCACTCACTCTCGTACCCTTTTCAGTCCTCACCTACTCTCCCTCCCAAACAAGAAACCGAGAGAAAAAAATAACAAAAAAATGGGGAGGCGAAAGATAGAAATGAAGATGGTGACGGACCGGAGCTGCAGGCAAGTCACCTTCTCCAAGCGCCGGACCGGACTCTTCAAGAAAGCCAACGAGCTCGCCACCCTCTGCGCCGTCCAGATCGCCATCATCGTCTTCTCCCCCGGCGGCAAGCCCTTCTCCTTCGGCAACCCCGGCGTGGAGCCCGTCGTCGGCCGATTCCTAAATCGGGGCGACGAACACCACGACGGCCAGCAGAGGCCGCAGCGGCTACCGAGAGATTCTGGCGGCCGCCGCAGACGAAATCAGGAATTGAAATTAGGTGTGTCCTTTTTTCCCCCGAAGTATAAACTATTTCAATTAGGATGATTTCATCCTATCGCATAAATTAATGTTAAACCGAAACCGACCGACTGACAGTCCTAGCTGTGACAAAATCAGAACCCTCGGGCTCCGCCACCGGCCGGAGCGAGAGGCTGGTGGAGGAGCTCAACGGGATCCAGAGGCGGATCCAGCTGGAGAAGAAGCGAGGCGAGGCTCTGGAGAAGGCGCTGGCGAGAGCAAAGGCATCGGCGGCGGCGGCGGGAGGCGGTTCGGATTCTCTGATCTCGAGATCTGTGGAGGAGATGGGGATGGAGGAGCTGGTGGAGATGAGGAGGAGGCTGGTGGATCTCCGGGAACAGCTGGACGGGCGGGCGGTGGAGATGGAGGCGTCGTCGACGCTGTTGCTTCTGTCGAATAAATCTGAGTCGGCGGGGGATAGTCGCGGCGGCAGCTGGGGCGGCGGCCGCCGCCGTCGCTCGGTTGCTAAATGGAGGGATTGATGTTGCGTGGGTGGGGAATTTGGGTTATGCGGAAAATAGTCATTGTTATGTAGAACGAGAGTTATATGAGTATTAAATTACATAAACAATGTAGGATGACCCTTTACTAATTGGATGGAGTTCAAAGAATAAAACGTAATCTCTCTTTCATTGTTTAATTTCACGTTGGATTTATGCATGAGATTGTTCCGTGTTTAGAGAATTGATATTGTGAAACCGAATCGGAGGTTTGTACAGAAAAAGTTAGCGTTATGGTATTGTGTGCTGAAATTATGGTTTTATCGTAACTCAATCGTTTCATATCGCTAAAAATTGTCTATTATTTTAGACTTTGATATGAAATTTTTCTGGTCGAACGGTCGGTATAATATGATTTCACAAACACTAGTTTCGAGAGTGAGACAAGATTGGTCACTAAAAATACGTAAGGTTGCTTTCCCAAATCCAAGGGTAATGATCAAAGCCAATTCAGAAACTGTCATCCAACAGCTTTAGAATGGCGTCTCAGATGACGTGTTGGGTGGTCACATTCTGCGTGATTGTCTCCAGCTAGCCTCCTCCATTCCCTCTGATATAAATTTCGGGACGGTTCCCCTTATAGCTAATTGGGTTGTCCATAGGGTGGTGCGTAAAGACTTTTATCGTCTTCCTTAGAGATAAGGTCTTTCAATTTTGCAGCCTAGTTATTGTAGGCCTCAGGTTTTTGGCTTTAAGGGGGTATGAGTTGCTTTAGTTTCTCTTTAAGTCTTGTCAAATTTGTTTTCTATTGTCATTCCTCAAAGAAGAAAAAAGAGTGATTTTTTTTAAGATTTCTAACAGATATATATGATTTATTATAATTTTATTAACGAATCGTAACTATATTAGCTTATTAGTCCAGGGAAACAAGGAAAATGAATCTGAATTTTATTATTATTCATTTTCCTTTTTATTACGCTGCTCTGTCAGTAAGTTTTGCCTGTCTATAGCTGTGTGTATATCTATCTCTATTGTTGTACTTAAAAAGTTTCTTAAAGAACATTATTCCTTAAAACACGAAATGAGAGAGGAGCGCAAATTCGAATTTTGAATTTGGAGCAACGCTCCAAAGATAAAGTGAAATTTTGCAGGTATATGTAAGCGCGCAAAATTTCATTTTGAATTATGAGATGCACGGTGATTAACCACGAATTTCTAACCACGAGTTTCTTCCTTAGGCTAAAATTGAATATAAACAATATCATAATAATGAAATAGAATACCAAACTCGATATAAATATATTATCAAATCATTATATGCAATCACGGAACACTATAGATTCTAAAAACCTAGACAACACAACACAGTAGCCATTAATGGTTGAAGAAATACATAGAAACATAACAGGAGAAAAAAAATGAGCTTATAACAGAAGTGAAATGCTATCCAAAAATGTATCTGAAATACTTATAGAGCCTACAAAATACACATTTGAATAATACTAATCCAATTTAGAATTTTGCAGTTAGGATTAGAATAGTTTTTTTTTATGGGAAAGGATTAGAATAGTTTTAGATATAATATTTATAGGCATGCATATAGTAAATAACATATATGTGCTAATAAGATCTTTCAAAATTGTAGTTTTGCTTCAAAAATTCACACCGTCTATTCGATTGGATGGTGAAATGACGAACTCTGCGAAACGAATTGATTACGAAGATAGTCAATCCAAGCATATGACTATCAAACGAAAATTACATGGCGTGAAACCTCTCCAACATAATAGAGGGAGAAACTTGCATCGAGGATAATATTATTTATATATTATTTAAAGTGAATCAGATGCCGCCTACGACTGCTTTGCACGACCTACTACTATACGAAATACATAACGCATCTCAACCGCGATCGATTCGTGTCTCCCGCGCCCTAACTAGACTGTTGGTTGCCCCACATATTATGCTTTCCGAGACTGACTTGGTGACAATGAATTTCGCTTGGTGGACTAGCAATATTACTTATTATCCTTCAATACTATCTTCCATATTCTGGCGCGTTATCGAGGTTATGTGACCTGTTCGTCTGTCGATATCAATTTTGACTTCAAAATGACTGGTTCAAAACCACAAGAAATGGTCAATCAATCGCGTAGTAATATAGTCGTCCCATTCGCCGGGTGACTTGGCAATGCAAATGGACGTGTGGGTTCCTTGAGAAGGAAGCTAGCTAGGTCCGAGTCCAACTCCAAAGTGAACTTTAAGCGGCGCAGCCGTTGTTGGCCACCGGGCGCGCGTTAGGTAGGTCGCCGACGACTCTCCGTCGTCGACTACCCAAGCCAGCAATCCACTTCCAATTGACAATTATTATGAACCGGAAAAATCCTGATGTGAAGAATCTGACTATTCCTGTATTTCGCTTCAATCATTCAGACGTTATTTTTTTTATATAGCAAAATAAGAATATTCACAAAATGTGTTCATTTAAAATATTCCTAACAGTTGATAAGGAGAATATCCACAACAATCGTTATGAATATTCACAATGCATGTTAAACGATGATTATATATATTAGGTTAAGCAACGACTAAGAGTGAGGAAGGTCGAGCGCAAAAATGCAGAATATTGTTGAATAGCATATATATAAAGGTAAAATTACTTAATAATTGAAAATAATTATGTGATTTTATAATTATTAGTAAATTATTTGAGGCATAATCCCACCTCGATTCATCAAAATGGATAAACCTAGCTTCATTTTCGTGGAATTCATATTTTATAATTGCGAAATGAATTGAATTCCAAAACGATTTCCTCAATATCATACTACTTACTGCATAGTACTGTTTACTGTTTAGTGATCAGTGAAATGACAATCTGACTTATCGGCTGTCAACACTAATTACCCTGCTCCTAAGAACGACAAGCCCTAATTAAAACAGCAATTAAGTTATTATTAATTACACTTTATGACAACTTCTTCATTCACCTCTTTGCCTAACGGCTAACGGCTAACACTAATGACAGGGGAATCTTGTAACGGCATAGTTTTCACCAAACCCTTTCCAAAAAGGGAATTCACTTCCTTGGTTTCTAGTAGGGTGAAAAAGGAAATGCAGTAAATGACAACGAGGAAGGAAGCGAAAGGGGCTCCAGGGGCTCAAGATAGGGTGCATAACCATGGGTTATGCACTCATCAATAACCAAATCTGGACCCTTTATTTAGAAAATTCAGATCTAAGGATGGAGAATTAAAGGTTATTTTTATTTTTACTAGTTTTCTTAATTGACTCATATCTTTTTCGTTTTAACTCGGATTTTAATTTTTTTTTGCACAGATGGAACGAGTTCACCGTGCTCTACAAAATGAGATCAATTTTCAATATTTTTTTAGGAAAAAAAAATTCCGACCTCTCGGTACCAACTGCATACCATATGGTATCTTCTTCGTTTTTAATTCGTTTTTGAAAACGTTTGCACAGCAGGGATGAGTTCATCAAGATCTACTGGATCTACAAATTTCTGGGTGAACAAATTACAGGACCAAAACATATCACACAATACCATACAATACCACCGTGGTACGGGGTGGTATTGTATGGTACCTTCTTCGTTTTTAATTCGTTTTTGAAAACGTTTGCACAGAAGGGATGCGTTCATCATGATCTATTGGATCTAAAAATTTCTGGGTGAACAAATTACAGGACCAAAAAATACCACACAATACCATACAATACCACCCTGGTACGGGGTGGTATTGTGTGGTATACAATGTTAAAAGTCGTAAATTACAATTAATATACTTCTACTATCATGTATTCAACTATCCTACAGTATTGGTTTGTTCATACAACCATGGTACGTTTTTCAAAACATAGGTATGCTTTTATTTCAATACCAGTCAATACCATATGGTATAGGCTGGTAAAAAATGGCTCAATTTTTTTTGTTCGAAAAATATATTAAAGTGGATATCATTTTGAAGAGCACAATTAATCTGATCTAACTGTGCAAAAAAAATTAAATTTCGACTTAAAATGAGCGAGAAATCGTCCGTCAAAGATTAAAGAGGGAAAAATTAAATGCTTTCCATGAGAGAGAGGATGCTGATGTCATGTTGATGTGGACGGGTTACTCATGGTTACTCACCATAAGGTTACTGACCTGATTCATTCCGGCTCCAGGGTTACCCATAACTAAATATGGACTTTTGATTTAGAAAATTCATATATAATAGGGAAGAATTAAATGTAGTTTTATTTTTTTCTTGTTTTTTTAATTGGTTTATATCTTCTTCGTTTTAATTCGGATTTCAATTTTTTATACTTATAGAACAAGTTTGTTATGCTCTACAAAATGAGATCCATTTTCAATATTTTTTGAGAAAAAAATTATTGCCTCTCGTTACCAACTGCATTCCACATGGTATCTTCTTCGTTTTAAGTAGTTTTTGAAAAAATTTGCACAGAAGAAACGAGTTCATCATGATCTATTGTATCTAAAAAATTTTGGGTGAACAAAATACAGGACCAAAAAATACCGCATAGTATCACCTTGATACGAGGTGGTATATTGTGGTACATAATGTTAAAAGTCGTCATGACAGTTAGTATACTCATGATCATGTATTCAACCATCATACAGTCTTGATATGTTCATACCATCATGGTACTCTTTTCATACCATATGATATGCTCTTATTTCAATACTAGTCAATACCATATGGTATAGACAAGTAAAAAATGGCTCAATTTTTTTTTGTTAAAAAAATATATCAAAGTGAATATCATTTTGAAAAGCACAATTAATCTGATCTAACTTGCAAAAAAAAATTACGACTTAAAACGAGTGAGAAATCGTCCGCTAAAGATTTGGTGGGGGGGGGGGGGAATTAAAGGCTTTACAGGAGAGAGAAGGAGCTAATGTGGCAGATGGTGATTGGGTTATGCATGGTTACTCATCACAAGGTTACCGACCATATCCGTTCCCAACGAATGGAAAAGAGAATCTGGTAGAAACTTTCGAGATATAAATTGAACTT